TTCTTCTTTTTCTGTGTCATACCAGTAGTAAAATGTAAAACACTGCCCCCATGCAGTTCTCCAAGGCTGAGGGTATTTCAGGTTCTCCAGCTCCATGGACTGAACTCCAGCTTGGTGGCAATATAGGCTTGACAAACCTCAAAAAGCCAAAATGAGTAAAAAATAGCAGATGAAGAGAGTTCATTCATAATTCTGGCAGCCTCTCGTTTGCACCCTTTCAAAACAAGTGCAAAGCCCTTGGTGAGTTTTTCCTGTCAGTGACTGAAATTGTGCCCCAGGAGTCTGAGGGGAGCTCAGTGTGGTGCTCTGAATCCTCTCCCAGCTGCTGGTTTTAGTAATAGTAAGAGCTGGGTTTTAGGTTTAGGATTTGTGTGCTTTATGAAATTTCCATTTGTTGGGGCTTTCCTCAGCAAGAAAATAATCAACTGTGGCATGGAATCGACATGCCACAGATTTCTGTAAAATGAGGAAAGGATGTGCAGTTGAAAGACCTTGGAGCATGTGGGTTTGTTTTCTCAGTGGCTGGACGGGTTGGCAGAGGTGGATGTGGTACCCTGGTCATGCCTTCACAACCCATGGATTTCAGCACTCCAGTGTCAGCAGAACTTTGTCTGTTTAAAAGCAAGAATTCCATGTTGTGATGCCCAGTGCAGTGTAGCTATTTTGTTCCCCTGCCCAGTCTCCCTAGGGATTAAAGGAAGGAAGAAATAGTGACCTGAGTAACACTACACACAGCAGGCAGTTGCTGAAAGAGGTATAAATCTCCTTCCTTCAGTGTCAAAGGGAAGAAGCCAGGATGACAAGAGTTTCTTTGAAACTCAGTGGTGTGCTTGTATGTTCTGTAACTTGAAGAGGAATGGGTACTAACAGTCTTGATTGTATGGTATGACAGTGTATCTTACACAGTCTGTATTAAAATCTTTTGTCTAGACAGGGATGAATTCTTGGGGGATGAAATATATCCTGTTTTCAACGTGGACAGAAACAGCCTGCAAATTTAAATGTTTCAGGAAAAAAGTATTTCTATGGTCATTTCTGTGAGTAAAATAAATTGGTGCTGATTCAAAATAGCACAGGTGGGGTTACTTTGTGTAACTGAGACCACCTAAGACTCAGCTGGTCTCAATTAAAAGTTGTATTGTGTTGATCTTGTATGCCAAGCTCAGAATCCAGAACTGGAATCTAGGATGGCGCTAAACATGCCTTGCAGTTTAACATCCAGCAAGGTTTACACAGGTTTATCTACTGACCTCTTTCTGAAGCTGAAGCAGCACCTGTTGCACGGGTAAGAATTTCAGAATAAGAAGTGGATTTTCAAAAGGATTTGGGACTGGTGTCTTGTTTTATGGAAGCGTATCTGGGAATATGCTTTCTGCTAGTTTAACAGCTAAGCTTCTGACCACATATGGGGAGAAAAAATATTCAGTGAATTTAGACTATAAAAAAATATGGATTTTATTTTTTTTGCAGGTACAAGCTACATAATGAAGGTCAGTTGACCTCACTAACAGCAAATAAAAAATGGTTGTAGTGTGTGTAGATCTCCTCCTGTATCCAAACTATTCCATATTCCTAGAGAATTCAAGGGAGAGTTCCTAGAAATGCAACTAAAGGCACTTTAAAGTGTTTGTCATATGCACTTATAATAAGCCACTAAACAGTTGTCAGGGTTGTTTTCCATGATAAACTCAAGTTACTGAGACCTGTTAACAATACGGATTTAATTTGACACACACATGGAGATGATGAGGCAGCAGACATCAGAGCAGGGGATCAGTTTTGTCCAGTGTGTGTTTCTTTCCCTCCACATAACCTTTTATGACTGGTATACATTTTTGTCTTTCCCTCCACATAACCTTTTATGACTGGTTCACATTTTTGGGGGTGTCCTGGGGGGATATGTGGCCACACCTTGGTGCCCCCATGGTGCTCCTGCTCAGTCAGAGCTGTGCTCTGCGTGGCACTCCGTGCTTTGGGAGATGACCCTATGCAGCTATGGCACCAGTTAGTTGTGTTGACACAGGTGTGTGTCCTCTCTGCTCTGGGGATACTGGGAGAGCTTATTACAGCAGGACAGGCACGTTCCAAGGGTCACCCGAGGTGACACAGCACTGGCTCATCAGTGGCATGTGCTGGGAAAGCACAGCCCGGCTTTTGAGGGCCAGGGGTGTTACAGGTTTAGAGGGAACTGCTCTGCGTGTTCTGTTCTAGGACTGTATTATAATAATGGTGGTATTTACAGAAAAGAAACCCAGCTTTCTATAAATTGTTACCTTTGTCCTCATATCACAGCCTTGGAATTCACAGCATACCAAAAAACACAGGGAAAAGTTGGTTCGCCCCCCACCCCCCATGTTTATAAACTCTAGGACAGATGTGCAGAACACATGAGAAAATAAAGGTCAATCCCTGCAAAGAGTAGGTCTGTGTTAAGCATGACACCTGCAGTATTTCTGTGCTGAGCATGACACCTGCAGTATTTCTGTGCTGAGCATGACACCTGCAGTATTTTTGTGCTGAGTGTGACACCTGCAGTACTTCTGTGTTAAACATGACACCTGCAGTATTTGTGTTAAACTTGACACCTGCAATATTTCTCTCTCACACCAATTCTCCACAGGACTGTGCACACCAGTGACGTGGATCAGAATGTTTCAGTAGCAAAGAAAGTGTCATTATAAGAGAATTAACTAACAAATTCAGCTACAGCCAGCACTCTAAGGAACCAGCTTTAGAGCATGGCCATTGCATTGACAACTTGCTGGTTTGATATCTGAGGCTGTTACTGAAGTCACAGACTCAATACAGAACCAAACAATTCAGGATTTGGCTCCTGCGGATCAAAAATATGCATCTGCTGACGTTAGAATTAACGAGCCAAGCAAAAAGAAAGGGGTGTTTCTTTGTTTAATTTACAACAATTAAATAAAATCCAGGATCTAAATGTTCCCTTGGGAAGGTACAGTTGCAACTACATTGTTTACACTTAATTGCAAGCACTGAAAAAGTTATTTGCACTTCTCCAACACTGAAAATTTTGGTTTTAATTCTTAATCTTCCAGACAGTTATGCTGCAGAGCTTACTAACTCAAGCAATTTAAAGTGCATGCATTTCTGGAAGGATGGACAGTTGTAAGGATAAGAGGAAGAGAGTTAAGCACCGTTTGTTTAATGAAGGGTACATTAGGTCGTATCTTGTGTAAAAGCAGACTGTACATCACTGTAGAACAGGATACATAATTTCTTAAAACTTGATTTTGTTTCTGATAATATATCACAACAAGGTACATGCATAAAATAACAACAAAAGATATTAATTGCAAAGTTTACTTTAATTAAACCTTTTTAATGATACACAGTACAATGTATCCACTACGTTGCTAAAATTCACAACAAAAGCAGGTTTCATATGTTTAAAAATACTTTTCATAATAAATTCATAAATAGATGAAGGTAAAGTATAAAAAATTACCGTAGTATGCAAGCTTGGTCCCTTGTCTCCTCATATTCCAAATGATCTAGACAGTATTGTGATAAGAAAGTTTCAAAGCAAAATAGTTACTGATGATTAGAAATGTACAGCTGGCATCTCTTGAAGGAACCTTGAAAAACAGCAACACATTTGTGCTAGAAAATGCAGAATCATTTTAACACTGTTATCATCCAAACCCCTCAGATAATTTTGGAATGCAGTGAATGAATTCAATATGAATTAGAGATTTTCACCTTCTCCCCAACAGGTGTGTGAGCCAGCCTGGCTGGAATGCTCCCTGTCTCTGGAGTTGTGGGCTTTGTACCTGTTAGGTCACAGAGTGAGGCACAGAAGAGGGAAAAGCTGGTTGACAGCACTGAGCATATCTGACTGTCAGAAATAACTTCTCCTTACAGACTTAGAAAATAGAAATCTTTAAAAACACTTACAAATAACTAAATTCACTTTCTGCTCAGTAGATGTCTGTATCTACTTTATGTCTGGCAGGCAGGACAGGGTCTGGTCTCAGCCCTTGGCCTCCCCAGGTTTGGGAATGGTATGTGTGTGTCACACCATTCCAACACAGCTCTGGGGAATCCCTGATCCTACACCACCAAACCCTATTTGCAAAGTTATTCTCCTCAGCAATATTATCATTCTCTCAAGAAAACATATATAGCATTTTATTTTGTCAAGTATCAAACTACTTTTCACACCTAGAATAATCTATTTTAATATCATTTATAAAGGGGAAAAATGCTTCCTTATGCACAGCATTTAGGGAATGAACATGACAAATGCAGAATAATCAGGATGCTCTGCCTTTCACGTTAATGTTTTTTTTCTTTGATTCCCTTTAGTGCAAAACCACTTCCATAAAAGTTCTGTGATTTTCTTGCAATGGTACCAAGATGCTTTTGAAGACGTTGACAGGCATCTGTCTGCAGCTTTAATGTCTCTGAAAATGCAGCTCTTGGCTCACTTTTAAAAAATACCTTCAAGTTGTCAAGACAAGTTTGCATGCTGTGTTCAGAGGACAGCCTTCCATACCCTTGATTTCACATACGATAGTGTAGGTACCCAAAATCACTCCCTCACATCTTCAGAGGAATCCATATTGCTCAGAGCATTTATTGCAGAAGGAAAGGGTGTTGATCATCACATGTTCCACATCCCAGTGCAGTGTAAAGGTGGTTACTAGGAGATTGGCTTTTGGAGATACACAGATTACGTGGGGCAGGAGCCTTAAAAAGGACAGTTTCTAAGGAAATACAGTCTTCTCTTTGAAGTTTTCCTCTGCTGTTATCTGGAGAATATAATCTTTGTGCGGTAACCTTTTTTTATTGATTGAACAATTAGAAGTTAAAACTGCTAGCTTGCCACAATTTTGGTCTCTAAGATAAAATTTACAGCAATGTGGATCTTTTTTATCTAGCTGTAGGGGGGAAACTGAGGTTTAAACTCCTACAGAGTAGTTAATGCTAAGGTGTGTGTTTCATATGTTCTTATGAAAGCTTAAATGCTTCATGACAGGAAGGTTAATCCTCATTATTCTGTTAAATTTGAGGTTGAGAAAAAGCACAATGAGTGTCAGCAGTTCACTTGGATAATCAAAAAATGTCCTCCAAAAGAAACATGAAAAGTGACTTTTTAATGATAAAGAAAGCCTCAAGAAATTTTTATTAAGGTACAATCTTGGATCTTCTAAAGGTTTTCAAATGGTGTCCTAGGGGAGAGAGACATTTTTTAACCTCATAATGGAAGGACTAGGTCCTAAATACAACTTTAAGCCAATTTAACAGCTCTCCAAGTGTTAAACTCTGTTGTTACCATACACTTAACTAGTTCTTAGCAGACCACTCTTCTTCAGTACAGAAAGCAGTCAAATTTCAGTGGTACAAAAAGCAAAGAGGAAAACCTGTAACTCCTTAAGTAGTGTTTTATTTTACCTTTGGGAAGGAAAGTATCTCCTTTGAACTGAGTAAGCACTGATTACACCTAACACATTTCCTCAGACTAAATAGAAAATCTTCTCTGACTGTTACTCAGGCTTCACTTTCCTCATTCTTGTGAAGTTCTCCTGTTCCCTTGTCTTCCATGGCCACTGACTCACATGGAAAAACAAGTCTGTTTTCAGTGATGCCTAAAGTTACTTATGTAATACAGGGAACTGCCTTTATCAGCATTCAAGTAATAGAAACCCTTGTTAAAAAAGACAGTGAAAAAACCCCTGCAACCCTTTTATGCTTCAAAGGATTATTTTTAAAGTGCATTTTAACATGTTTCAGTCACCCTAAAAAATGATGAAATTTGTCATACTAAGATCAGGACAGGAGAGTGTTCTGGCTATTTTTATCTAAACTCTGGCAACAATTCCATGGAGAGCAACTATATATTTGGGTTGGTTTGATTCTGTAACCCTGCTCTTTTCCAAGTAAACTAAACTGAAATGAAAAAGAAGATGCAGAGGGCTAACCTTGTGCTGGAAACCAGAACATTCAGCTGTGGAATAGTTGGAGTTTTTCCTAAAGTACGCAGCGGAGATTGCAATGAAATGCTTCCATCTGAGATTTTTTGCTCCATAACCCAGTTCAATAATCTAATGTTACCTGGCCAGTAAAAACAAGATACCCAGGAGGCTGCTTCTCTAACTAAAATCACAGTGGGATGATCAGCACTACTACAGACAGTACAAAAATCAAACTGAGACAGCATTTCCCAAATCTATGAATCCCTTCTTACAGCATGGAAAAGAACTGTCAAATCTAAGAACAGCCCCATCATCAAGGACTCTGCTCTGTGACTCTTAAAGTCACTATACTTCATATAACTCTAGTAAAATATTAATCTATATTAACAACCTGGCATCTTTTATTGCCTAATTTGTAAATACGAATGCCTTTTAGTTGGTAAAACAATCTAGTATCATTTGAGCAAGGAAAATTAAGTGGTTAGGGTGATTAGCCCAAACTTTGGGATTCGTTTCCTTTCAGTTCCAAGAACCATCATTCTGTGAGAATGCCTGACAGGGGTTAGACTGAGGACTCCCCATCGCTGGAAGGTACCAGAGGGAGAGGAACTTTATTTTTCAGGTTCACAAAGCATGTATTATGCTCACTTCATTTTCCTCCAGCACACTGTTTGCCCAAAATAATAGGGTAAACTTCAGTGGTCTGTTAATATATAAATGTTTTGGCAGCAGGATAGGTAAAGAGAAACCACTTCTATTGAGGAAATAACATATTAATTCATCTTGATTTAAAGAGACTTTCATTGTACCATTGAGTAAAACAATCCCACAAAGAGAAACTAATGATATTTTACCTCCCAGTTCCCTCAGGACTGGTGTGAGACAGCAGAAGACATTCAAATGGTTCCCTGGCTGGGACTGAGATGAACAGAGTGTAAATCTCAGTGGGCCAATGGATCCTGGGGCAAACCGAGGGAAGGCTTTAATGGTATTTAGGGAGTTACTGTGTGGGAGGATCAACACTGTGAGGTACCACTGCAGCAATGCAGGTATATTGCAGCTCTGTTCTTCAAATCAGTATGAGTTTTAAAGGCCAAGAAAGAAAATGAGCAAGAGCTCCACTTTGGTGAAGTTCTTGGAAATCTATTAGCAGTATTAGCTGGGCTTCATTCAGTTTGCAATGTTACCTACCAAAACAACCTGCTTTCCACTCCAGTGAGAGGGATAAAATCATTAGGACATTTTCTCTGATCTTAAGTATTTTCAATTTTTTTCAAATTTTGCTTTGCAAAGCCAACGTTAGCAGGTTTCTGGGCTGACATTGATTTGGATTGTATTTACAAAATTCTAAATATTTGTACAAGTTCCATCCGTGATGATGGATTGGATGAGTAACTGGAGATGAAATTTGCTTAAAACAAAATCAATACAAAGGGTAACAAAGCCCACGCTCCTGGGAGCCATTGTGCTGATGATTTCATTTCAGTATTTGCCTCTGCATTCCACTCCCAAGTGTTACAAGGCAGGGATCAACGTCCCCTTCTGTGCTTTTGTAATATTTTTGCACTGCCAAAAATAAATGATAAATACTAATGCAAACACATGGTCAGCCAAGGAGATCTGCTTAAAAGCAATTACTGCACCATACTCTCGTTAATGTTCAACTGCCAGTAAACAGGTTTCTTGGCAAATGTTTATGCTGTGAACTCTGAACATGCACTACTGAATTATTCACTCGATGTACATCAGTGCACATTTGTAACCTAAGATCTGAAACTCAGGTTTTTACCCGTAAATCGCAGGTTTATAGCTACTCTCTTCTCTCAGGTACCCTTTTGGTTTCAATAGGATTAGTGGAACTAAACCAACACCACTGTCTTCTTAATGTTTGAATTACACAGCTGGGTGTGAGTTACAGGTTTAGGAAAGTCTTCAGCAGGGCAGTGAAAAGCTCTAAGTTACACTTACTGCTTATTTTGGTCAAGAAGCTCTCAGTCTAGTGAGTGTTGTGCTACTGCAATGGACAGAGAAAAGGTTTGGTTATCAAAATAAACCTGAACTACTCACAGCCTGAGCACCGTCACTCATAGCTGCCCCTAACTAAAAAATAAACCAGGCCTTCAGTCTATTTCTTTGTTCCCTTGTGCTCAGTTAGGAGGGCATGCAAACTTGGATTACACTTGTTACAACACAGAAGAGCCAAAAGATAAAACTGATAGCAAGCCAGAGTCTTAGTTTTCTACAGCAAAATGCAAACTAATCAGAATCGGTGCCTTCACTGGAAAACACAGCAAACAAGTCCCTGCTGCTGCATTGCACGTTTTGTGACTGAACCAGAATAACCTGCAGACAGAGCCTCAATCTTCAAGGGTAGTTTAAGAGATACACCCCGGTAAATTGTAAGGAGAAGCATAGTGCCTGGGCTAATTCTACTTATTTACTAAACAAACCTCCAAACTAAGAAAATGGATCAATAACTCCTTCTCTTCATCTACTGTAAAAACACAATCATTCACTGACTGCATTGGAAGCAGGATTTCAGTTCATTTTGCACCTTGTTCCAGTTTTCCATGAGTTACTATGTAAACTATGGATTTCAGTCTGAGTAGCAGCAATACTGTTCTTAAATGCGTGTGAATTTTTATCAGCATTAAATAATTTGGCACTAATCCTGCAAATAGTGGGAGGCTGAGCTTATCTGGGGGTCCATGTTCACACACACAGAACTGCAGGACTATGACCTACACACGTAAACTGTAATGTGTCATGACACAAAGTCAAATGCTTCTGAGTATTCTCTATCTCAGGACCATCTAACCAGGAGAAAGAGCACTCACCAGGACCGAGTTTCAGCTTGGACTGTCTTCACAGTTTCTCCTGAGAGTAGGATATAGGGAGTACAATAACAAATCCAGAGTTTGGACAATTCTCATTTTCAGTGCCTAGCCGGACAACTTATTGCCTGTTATCTTTGGATGTAGGAGAGATGGGAATGTCCTGGAAAACTATCAAAAAATACTACCAAATACTGCAGGTCAGCCTGCTCTTCCACATAAAATATTAGAATTGTGAAAACAATACCAATTGAGAAAGGTAAGGCCCTTTCACTCTCTTAAAACTGTAAAACCTGAAAACTAACACCTCAGATTATAAGCAAATAGGCTACAAAACATATGTTACTCCTCAATTATCTACCTCATAGTTTAAAAAAACAGAAAGACCAGAGAATGGTTAAATATTTTCTACAGGAAGATGAGTAGTATTAAAATTAGTATCCATTAGCCCTTTCCTAAGTCTTCCTAATTGTCATGACACTGGATATGTTGAATGGCTAAACTGGTGCAGCCCTAGTAGCAAAACAATTCAAGTCCTTTTTGATCAAGATTTTTCAAAAGAGACAAATGATGACTTGAAATGGGTGCTTTCTGAAAATGAGCTCCTTCATCTTATCACTTATCTTAGATCACTTGCCATCCCTGAACACCACTGCTTTACTGGCAGAGTTAAAAATCTTCCTGCTCCTGCTCCCTTTTTGTAAGGTGCCTGAGTGTAAACCCAGAGGATGCTGCCATCAGTACTTCAACTGCACCTACCACACCCTACAGAGCCAAATCTGAAAGAACTGAGTGTAGCTGGAGTATCAAATCAACTTTACTTAACAATGCAGACTTTTGATCAACAATGAAAGATTTTTCCTGATGAATGTTTTCATGAAATGAAAAGCAACTGGTAACTTGTGATAGGGAGAGGGAAACATTTGGGTTCAAAGTTTGGAGGGAATCACTCCAAAAGACGCTGGTTTCTCACAGCTAAGAAGTTGCAATGTATGCAGTTTACAGCTACTCTGAGCTCTTCTTTCCCATTATATGCCCATCTGGTATTTAAAGAGATGGTTTAAAAAACAAAACCAATACAAAAATCAAATCCACTTATGCCACTTAAGCAATGAACGCTCTGGTAACATAATGTCAAATGTATGACCAGAACTAACCCTGTAAATGACCATTAGGCACATGGCAAGAGGTTGTGGCTACAGTCAGCTCAAGGTTTCTCCAGTTCCTGTTTCCAGTGGTGCTGGTCTTGAACTGTTAAATGAAATTATGAGACCTGAGGGCAAAACCTCAGTGATACCCACTAGGAAAAAGGAGCTATCACTGTGCAAATAATAACAAATGAAATGCATCTACCCTCTCCTCAAGGCTGTATGGAAATAACTACCCTAGTCCAATCCTGCTTGACAGTAAGTCATGGTATTGCTCGGGCTGATTTTGCTTCTGTTAAAATGATAACTTAAAATCATCACGAAACCTGAGAGAAGGCTTCCCCACCTGGGCCTGTTCCACAGTAACTAGCAGTCTACGCCCTAGGACAAATACCTGCTATTTGGTCCTGTAATCAAAATGCTGGGGATTATGACACTTGAAATACCTTTATCAAAGACATCATCACTTTTTGGTCACTAGTGGAGTGCTGAGGATTTCAAGAGACACTGTCAAGATTGCTTTTTTCAAAAGGGACCTCCTTTGCCAACAGTCCCATGCTAAATGTTTCAGAACTTTGGCTTTGCATGTCTCTTCCCCAGCCACCTGTCTCCCCACCCCACATCACCAGTTCAAAGCTGTTTCTGCCATTTTTGTAACTCGTATGAAGGTTACAGAAAATAAAACAGTGGGGACAAATGTTAAGTAAGTTTTTCAGAGGGTTTGACTTTCAGGACTACCTCTCAAAAGTCCCTTTTTAAAAATAAGACACCAAAGCAAACAGGATTGTGTCTAACTTCTACAAAATTGCTGGTTTCACAGGAGGAGGAGAGTATGGCTACCATGCTACTCAGCATTAGGGTGAAGCACCATCTAAATTCCGGTAAAGTCAGGGATATCACCTAGCTCTTATCAGCAACCACACCCCCAGCCTTCCACAACGTCTTTGCTGTCCAGCTTGATGCTGTCAGTGTTCTTCTCACTGAACATGGGCCCGCCGTGCCTCATCATGAGCTCCGTGGCCATCTTCACAAACGCCTCCTCCACGTTGCTGGAGTCCTTCGCAGAGGTCTCGATGGCACAGATGATATTGTCATAGCGTTCAGCCAGGCTCTGAGCCTCTTCCAGCTGAACCTCTCGAAGGTCACTTAGGTCAGACTTGTTTCCTGGGAGGGAAGGAAACAACAGAGTAATTTATAAAGACTGTTTATGCCAGCGTGTAGCTGGAGCTTCTCTGGTTGCCCAGGGAAGCTGCGGGATTTCCAGTCATGGCGGTTTTCAAAATTTGACTGAAAAGGCCCTCACCAACCTGCCATTGGCCTCGCTCTGAGCAGGAGGTTGGAGCTGCATAATCTCATGAGCCCCTTCCAACCTCTTTTTCTGTGTGACTCATAGGACAGAAAAAGTAACTGAACAGTGGTGGCTGTAGACCTTAACAAAATTAAAATGGGCTAGAAATGAAAGCTGAAACCATCTTGTGAAAGCAGCAGCTGTCTGCTGGGCCCTAGGGAAATCAGAATAGTACTGCTGTTCCATTAGCAGGTCTAATGGACGTGGCCCCGAGAGCCACATCTGAGTCCGAAACATTGGGGCTGGGAAGCAGAACTTCCAGCAGAGAACTGACACACCTTGACTGCCCCAAAGGCCTTCCAAAATCTCCTGTCTGCTGAAGTGTGTGGGTGTTCCAGTGCTTGCTATGACAGAGCTTCTCTAGGCCCTGAAAACCTTGGGATCTTTATCATGAGAACATCTCCACAGCAGCTGTGCCTCAGAACCTGGAAATCTGGGAGATGCAGAGGATTCAAAGCTGGCTACTTCTTAATATAAGTTAATCAAAGCAAAACATTTCTGTTTGGATGAATCAGTGCTTTCTAATTAAAAAAACTGGTCATTTCCAATCAGATCTATTGCTTGCGTCTTAACTTCAACCAGAAATAAAACTTTTAACCACCCTAAACAAGTATTGCAAACAATTACATTGAGCAGTAGTAGGCTGCAGTGCTGGTGTGAACGCTTTCAACTCACCAATCAGTAACTGCACTATGTTGGAGCCGGCGTACTTCCTGACATCCTCGATCCAGCGAGGGATGGACAGGAAGGAGCCCCTCTTGCTGATGTCGTAGGCCAGGATGGCCCCGTTGGCGCTGCGATAGTAACTCTGCGTGATGGTGCGGAACCTCTCCTGGCCGGCCGTGTCCCAGATCTGCAGCTGGAGGAGACAGGGACAGTGAGACACGGGCCAGCCAGCTCTGCTGGACCCAGGGACAGCACCCCAGATCGCTCTCCTGTGTAAATAATGAATTCTGGCACCACATTGTTCTAGTCTTTTGTTCGTGATTGAAGGATGATGACAATATATGCTTGAGAACCGTGAAATAAACATACACATATGTAATACATGCTGAGAACTTAGCTGCTGAAAGGTTATATCTGTATCAGTTGGGACACACTGTGTTCCTGCAGTGAGCTTCTTCTGTGGTAGATTATGAAATTATCTCTTGTGTGTCCAGCCCTAGCCCTTTGTCACCTCCTCTAGCACAGTCAGCAGAACAAGATGTTCCCCCATAGCAAAGCTACTCCAGTTCATCTGCTGTGTCACTGAAACTACAGGTGGCTTTTCACTGGAATATCATCTGTGGCACTGCTGTGGGTTTGCCAGTTCTGCTACGGGGGCAGGAACAACTGGAGCAGGATGTGCTCACATCACCTGAGAGCACTGATGCTGTTTTAGAAGGAAATATGAGACAATTCAAAGAATATAGATAAAAGTGTATAAATGAAAAGCCAGCAATTCTAGGTTTCAGTAAGGTCAAAGATCGAGTCAGGCTAGTCACCTGTCCTTTTCCAGGTGGAAGAACAGACATTACACCAGGGCAGGAAGAAGAAATGCTTGGCTTATACACTTTTGTCCAAATCCAGCAGCGTAAGATTTATGAGTTTAGTATCAGGGTTTGAGTTCTCAGTACTAGATGTTCCAGAGGAAGAAGCCAAATAACTCAGAGTGGACAAACACAATACCCTGTTCATAGGGAAAATGTCTTTCTAAATCCTCTTGCTTTATAGGTTGTCTAATGTCCTGGAATATGATGGCTTATATTCCAGGATCTTTTAATCTGAAGTAACTGTGGATGTTCTCGTCTTCCATATAAATCTCTAATCCTTTTTGAATCTTTCAAAGCTCTTGTCTTCAACACATAGTAGCAATGAAACCAAAGAATTTCTTTTCATAGATTTTATATTTTCAGTCCCTCTGTTGTACTTTCACTTCTCTATCCCAAATGATAAATGAGAGACCACTGTTTGTCTTTTTGTGTCATTCCTTATACTCTGCATCTCTTCTTATGAGACAGAGCATAAGCAAGTACTTCTGGGGTTTTTAATCCTCCCAAAGTGTGGACTTGTTATTTATTGTTTCCCCTCTCTCTGAACCTCCTTATTTTAAAGAGCTGACACAATATAATGTGTCAGTGATATTTTACATCAAATAATATGGAATTATTTATTTTTTTATTTATTTATTTTGCACAATAGCATTTTCTTTCTATCTTCTGACTCCTGCATTTTTGAGCAGTAACTTTCCCTTTGGAAAAGGCTGTACTCATGAGATTTCATTTCCTGTGCTAACCAAGCATTTAGGTCCCAAATGATATATGTACAGATTAAAAGAAATCAATCCAATGAAAAAGGACTTCTCAGTTCTGGTAAGAGCTTTCTCAGAGAAGGGAAAGGGACTGTAATGGACTCAGAAAACCACAAAGTAATGATTATTAATGGAACAGATAATGATTCAGAGCAGTCAGCAGCAATTACTGGAGACAGGGAAGTTAAGGACAGGTTTATGTACAATCTCTGCACTCAAGTCTCCCCACTAGACCTTTGTGTCTGTTACATAGTTTTAAATCTCAATACTTGGTTAGGTCAAGCGCAAAACAAGGCTAATAATGATTACTCAACTCTTGGGAGAGGTCTGAGTGATTCTGTGCATACAGACAAGTTAGAAACTTTTTAAATTAAAAAATAAAATTGTTTGAGGTCACACTTTTCACATGGTATAAATGAAAGTGCAGAGTGACTCAGCAAGCCAATGCTGTATGCTGGATTTTGAAAACCTCTGTTTGAAAACCATGAGAATCACAGAATCACTGAGGTTGAGACAGATTTGGGAGGTGACAAAGCCAACTGCTTTTAAGTGGAGTCAAAACTTAGTTCTTTCAGACAGAATTGCTCCATGATTTTCCCAGGGACCAAAATGAATCTTACCAGCCATCCCAGAATTTTTTGCCCTTTCTGAAGATGAGTACAACATTTGTCTTTCTCTGGTCCTTCCCAATTTCTATAGTAGTGACAGAACAACCTCAAAATGTCACCAGGGAGATCTCACAGCACTGCCCTACACATTTAACTCAAACATTTGTGTCTTGTGTTCACAGGACAAAATGTACAAAGTTGCTGAAGCCTTCAGAGTCCTGCTGGGAACAGCAGAGAGCACAATTTTGGCCTTCTCAGGAGCTCAAACAGCACCCAAGAGCAAACAAGAGCACCTTTCCTCCCAGTCCACATCCTCCGAGTAAGCTCAGGCACTTGAGTTTTGTGCTCCCCTACTTGTCACTCCTCTTGTGTAAGGATTCTGAATCATCTTCAGTTTGTGAGGCTTTGCTCTCCTTGCTGAGGTTCCAGGATGTATTAGACCCTGAGCAGATACCTTCTTTGCAAACACTCACAGCAGCTGGCACAGTGTCTGTCCCTGTTCCATCACCTCTGTGGGCAGAGGGAGCCAGGTGAGTGCTCCCTGTTCCAGGGAAAATCACCCACATACAGGCACAGTTTGATGACTGGTTTATGCCAAGACAAGGCAATACTGTCAGCAAGGGCTTCCCACAATTTGGAAGCTTGAAAACCTGTCCTGTCACACTGTTTGAAGTTTGAATAACTGTCTTATCTTAAATCATTAAGAATAGACACTGCAGACACAGTAAGTACTACAAACCAGATGACTTAATTTAAAGCAAGTTGTATTTCTAAGGGCCAAGTATAGCTAGTTTGCTTGGCAGCATCTTTAGAAAACTCCCAGAAAAATATTTCCATATAGCATTGATCAATCTAATGCATGATTAAAAAATATAATTTAAGTCATTACAAAAATACCAGTTCTGATCCTAAGTAAACACTATTTTCTCCAGCAGATGCACAGAGATTCATTTCAAATTCTATTGAAAAAGAAACATGACAACTACATGTAAATACCAATCACAACTATAATTTAAAATAGCCATTTTGTAGTAAATTTTTTATAGAGACTTTCTATTATACTATATTTACAAGCATTTAACTCTTGACAAGAATAACAATTACAAATTCCTTGGAAAAAGTATAGTCTTAGTATTTCTCATTCAAAAGTCCCTCAGTGTAACTTAACTGTTAAAATCAAATACCAAATGAACTGTACTAGCCACAGGTTAACAAAAAAGATGTGATCATGTATTCTATTGTATTAGTATATGACATGCAATATATGACACAAAGTCCTTAATTATTTATTTCCTCGATTTAAGTGCTTCAGCTTTGTAAATGACATGATAGAAGCCACATCTGTCACTCAGTAACCTTTTGAAGCAATTCCTGATTTTGTCATTACTTTCACAACAATTTTGGTGTGAGAAAGACAGAAGCTGGGATTGCTGGAGAACTGTGTTGTATTCATCTGAGGATACTAAGAAAAAACACCTATGAAACAAAAGATTGGTGCCAGGCCTTCAAGGAGACCACCAGTAGTAACCAGTGAGGACAGGATAAAAACCAGGGAATAAATACCCATTGTCCAGAAGGAATATGACAGAATACTCCAAGTGAACAAAGACAAGGAGCCACCTTTTTTGTGCTAATTGTTTCACTATTGAATACACATTTACTTACAAAAGGTGGTTATTTTGATCCCCTTTGAGCTTCGAATTTTTTGGACAGCAGAGCCCTTAGCACTGGCTGGCACTGAACAGCACAGTGCTGAACTATTATCTCCTGTAAGACTTTTCATGACTCCATATAATCCCCATAAATACATTAGACAAAGTCTTGACCATCTTTTTCTGTTTGCTTTCTCATCTGTTCCTGTTGGGGAGGATCCCTCGGGGAGTGTATGGCACTGCCCCTCCCAGGGGTGCAGGATGTGTGCGTGGCTGGGAGCAGCTGTGCTGGAGAGGCCCTGGGGGTCCCTGCAGACAGCTGAACAGGAGCCAGCATTCCTGGCAGCAGCAGCCCGAGCTGTAGGCACAGGAGGGATGGACACACCTGGGAGCTGCTGCCCAGAACCCACGGGCAGGGTGCCATGGACACAGGGCCAGGCCCTTCACGGTGGCACAGGAGAGAAAAACTGAAACAAGGATGTGTCAACTGGATGTACCAAGGAAAATAGGTGGTAACATTTATGGTGGGTCTCTGGAAGATCATTCTGGGATGTCTGGTCAGGCCCACAGAAAGCAGGTTTTGAACTACAGGAACAGAGTGGTGAAAATGGTGAGTGACAGGTTGACCAAAGAGGATCTTAAACAAGCATTATCCAATGGGTCATGTGGATTCTTCTTGCATTGGTGAATATATTGTTTATCAAAGGTTAATGCTTAACAGATGGCCTCAAGACACATTAAATAATTTCTCCCTCCCTTACTTCGTACATAATTTATTAAGTACTCTCCTGATTCTTCTAAACTATCACAGGAGTTCAGTTTTACTTTTGCTTCTGAAGCAGCATAAGTAATAAGTAAGTACATCCTACAGCTGATGTCTTTCTTTACAAAAATAGAAATGTCACTTTGTGACAATATAGCAACTTCCATAAAATCTCCCAGCAGTGAAATACTGGACACAAAGACTGTGCTAAAAGAATCTTACCCAACTGATGGTGTCTGAATCCTGTCATCTCAAACGGCAAACAGCAACATACATTTCTGTAGGCTGGCAAATCACAACACTTGCTCCTAAAAACACTTACTGGAAGTCTTGCAACTTCATCTACGCAGTTTTTCCAAAAAGCAACATCTCTGTGGCAGTGTATTTCAATTTAAAGTGATATTCTTAAACAGTCAGGATGAACTGCTCCATTCAACTGTTTCCCTACACAATTTTCAGAGAATGAGGAATCCTTGTTTGTTGGGAATGCAGTATTTCCATTTGCTCCATTTGTATGTGTCCAAGTAGCTGACAGAGAGCTACACTTCCTCTGGATATCAAATAATACCACTTCCATGTAATAACCAATTGCTCTGCCTGTATTTGTTTAGCAACATTATTAAATCAACAGTCAGGGGACAAGACAGTTAACAAGTCATAACTTTATATTACTTGCAATTTGGCCAGATAATGACACATTACATTTTGGCCCATTATGAAAGGAATATAGTTTACAGCCATGAGGCCTGAATAAAAGCCAATAATCTTGATAACATATGGGCTGGAAAAGCTTGGAAATTAAAAAGTGCAATGATACATGAAGAAATATTTTCTATGAAAGGAATGTGTTTTCAACTGTTCTTCTCTCCTGTTCTGAAACACATACTGAGAGAGAAAAACTACGGCATTGAGGACAAAAATATTCAGTTTATGTAAAATACTACCGCATAAAGTAGACATTAAAGATAATTTATCAGTTCACAGGAGGTAATTCATTAAAAGAAAAGGAATTTTGTTATTACTAACCATGATTTATGGACTTGGACTTAGGAATGTCCTTGCCTGTCATTATGTAAAATCTTGATTCCAGCATTTTATAAATATCTTTTCTTACAGTGACATAACAGTTACCAAACATATTTGTTCTGTTTGCCAGATTCTTTCTAATACTCAAGTCATTATTTTATCAATAGGACTTTAATCACTGTGCATTAAGTGATTAACATAACTTTTAAACACTTTCAAGTGATTAACAAGACCAACTTTTGGGAACTACAGTCTGTACCCTAGGATTTAGCCAGCTAAGAAGGATGGATTTTAGAGAGAGCACTATGCCACAATTTCAAGCAGTTAGACAGCATATAGTAGAGCATATTTTTAAAAGAATATAGACTGCAGATATTTCATAAAGCTGACGGGGAAATTCTGGATACATGCTGGTCAGATTTTGCCTTTGTGACAAAAATCCAGGTGGTCAGCACAGGTAGCTTTGGCTGTGAAGTTCCATTAGTGTGCTACATGTGCCAAATCCCCGTCTGGCTCTGTGCCACGGGGCCTTTCAGCTCCAACACCTCCAGGAGCCCCCAGCTCACAGCAGCCAGGCCCAGCAGCTGATGAAGCAGCAGTGTATGAAACTCCACGTGAGACACTCGAGGGAATGCAGCTTTAAGTTGCAAGGAAACCTCAAGTTTATAAATAATAAAAAAAGTTATTTGCAGGACCATAACCCTCTGTATCCCAACATGCATCTTTTCCCTTAGCCAACAAAATGCATCAAAAGGAAGTGAGACTTAAAATCCTTGGGCTCCAAACGTTTCAGAAACATTATGTAACTGTAATGGAACATTTGAAGCAGAAGGGAGCACTGACACAATTAACCTTAAAATGTTTGTTTCAATCTCAAAATAAGTGTTGTTGGGTCGTAATACTATCCTCAGCCTGACTAAAAAGGAACCTTAGGCCACTGGGGATGTGGAGCAAGTAGTGTTCAAAAGCTCCTTGGGGCTCTTTTTGTAGACACTCTTGTTCTGAAGGGACTACTAAAGATGAGCTTATAAAAACGGGGATTTTCTTATTCTTGCAGCATTTGCTAAACAGAAAACAAGTCCCTGCAT